TTGGAGGGAGCCGGAGTCAGTGTCTGGCAGTGGTGGAGAGCACTGCTGTGGCAACTGCTGATTTGTCCCTGAGTTGTGGAAGGATAGCGTAATGTTTTGCAAAGGTATGGTTTGAAGACCATGTTGCTGCCCGGTAAATGTCTCTTAAGGGGACATTGCTCAGAAAGGCTGTAGAAGCAGCTGTCGCTCGAGTGGAATGCGCTCGTGGTGGGCGCTGTAGTGGTATTTTAACCAGAGTGTGGCACTTAATTATGCATGTCGATATCCACTTTGAGATTCGTTGTGATGATATTGGTGTCCCCTTGGATCATTCGGCGATGGAGATAAAAAGTCTTTCAGATTTACGAAATGGTTTTGTTCTTTCTAGGAAGAAGGCCAGAGCCCTCCGGATGTCCAGAGTATGCAGGCTGGCATCCTTCTGTGAAGAGTGCGGTTTTGGGAAAAAGGAAGCAAACACGATCAGTTCGTTGAGATGGAATTCTGTACAGACCTTTGGCAAGAATGTAGGGTGGGGTCTAAATATGACCCTATCCTTCGTGAAAACTGTGTAAGGAGGTTCTGACGTTAATGCCCCAAATTCACTCAACCTCCTGACGGAGGTGATGGCTAAGAGGAAACGGACTTTCATAAAAAGAAAGGGAAGTGGTATTGTTGCTAATGGCTCAAAAGGAGGTCTTGTGAGGTAGTCCAGAACAAGATTTAGGTTCCATAAGGGAGGTGGGGCCTTATATGGTGGGTATATGTTGTAGAGTCCCTTAAGGAATCTCTTCGTGATAGGATGGTTAAAAATGGAAAAGCCGTCCACCGAAGTATGAAATGCTGCTATTGCGGAGAGATGTACTCTTAGGGTGTGTCTAGACTACAGGGTTTTGTCGACAAAGTGGACTTTTGTCGACAAAACTATACCTGCGTCTACACTGCTGCTGAGTTCTGTTGACATAACGTCGACAGAACTCAGCAGCTTTGTCGATGGCTGTAAACCTCATTCTATGAGGAATAACGCCTTTTGTCGACAGTTCTGTCGACAGAAGGCATTATTGAATCTACACTGTCCTTTTCATCTACACTGTCATGTCGACAAAGCGGCTTGCTTTGTTGACAGAACTGGATGTAGTCTAGATGCGCTTTGTCGACAGTATCTGTCGACAGAACTTCTGTCGACAAAAGCCTGTAGTCTAGACATACCCTTAGAGAGAGGAGATTGACAGTCCTGATGTTTTAAGGTCCAGGATGTAGTCTAGGATGATATTTAGTAGGGAGACACAGGGTTCCACTTTGGCTCACTGACACCAGTGACAGAATCATGTCCATTTCTGCTGGTAGGTTTTTCGAGTAGACTGCCTCCTGCTATGGAAAATGATGTCTTTTACTCGCTGGGAACAGCAATCTTCTATCATGTCCATTTCTGCTGGTAGGTTTTTCGAGTAGACTGCCTCCTGCTATGGAAAATGATGTCTTTTACTCGCTGGGAACAGCAATCTTCTATCTCTGAGAACCAGAGAGAAGCCACGCTTGAAGATGCAGGGTACGGAGTTGTGGACGCAGTATCCTGCCGTAGTCCTGAGATAGTAGGTCTATCCGGTATGGTAGAGGATGGGGAGGCTGGACCGCTAACCTGTGAAGGTATGGGTACCAGGTTTGGTGAGACCATGACGAGGCAATCAGGATGACTAGGGCTTTGTCTCTCAGGATCCTGCGTAGAACTCTTGGGATGAGCGGTATGGGGGGGAAAGGTGTAGTGTAGGGGGGCTGTCCATTTGATTAGGAAGGCATCCCCCAGAGAGTGTTTGCCAAGTCCCGCACGTGAGCAGAATCGAGGACATTTGGTGTTCTGGGTAGAAGCGAAGAGGTCTATAGATGGCCATCCCCATTGGTGTAAAACTGAGTTTGTGACTTCCGTATGTAACTCCCATTCGTGATCTAAGGTATAGTTCCGACTCAAAGAGTCCGCTTTGGTGTTGTTCACCCCGGGTAGATAAGATGCTAAAAGGGTGACTTGGTTGCAGATGCACGAGTTCCACAGGCAAACAGCCTCCGCGCATAGGGAGCAGGAGCGGGCTCCGACCTGTTTGTTTATGTAGAACATCGTGCAAATGTTGTCCGTTAGGATGCGGACTGTATGACTGGCGATGTCGGAGACAAAAGTGCGCACAGGCTTTCCTTACTGCCCTCAATTCGAGGAGATTGATGTGTAAGAGTGTCTCGTTTGGGGGCCACCTGCCTTGAACTTCACGACCGTCCATATGTGACCCCCAGCCGAGCAGGGAAGCATCCGTGGTGATTTGGATAGTTGGTTCGATTTGTTGGAATGGAACTCCCGCCAAAAGATTGTTTGGCACTGTCCACCATCGTAAGGCTAACTAGTGGGAAAGTAGTCAGAGAGACTGACAAGGAGCTCCTGTTTGCTCCGTCCGCTGACAAGGGCGGTTAAAGAGGAACTGGAAGGGAGGGGGTTGGGCCGTGCGCTGCAGGAGGCGGGAAGGGCTCGAGACGCCTCCTGGGCATGCGTGGCCCAACGGGGGAAACTGCTTTACAGAGCTCCGATCTGCGGCTCAGGGCGACCCTTCACCTAGAGTGGAGCACCCACGGGGACACTACTCGAAGAAGATCTTAACATTTCTTACAGGTACTGTCTTATTGCAACCCGGGTCTCTGCCAGCTCTTTAAATAGCTCCCTGCTGGCTTTTGCTGCAGTTCAGCCAGCTGTTATCAGAGCTGCAGAACAGAGTGCGCCCGCTTACTTTCACCTCTGCTTTCAAACCTCATCCTGGCTTTGCTTATGAAAGGTTAGAAGTAAATTATTGTTGTAAGCAGAGGAAGAGTCTCTTGTGAAGACAGCAAATCAAGACAAAGCAAAGAAAAATCTAGAATAAAATACACTAGCTAATCTAGTGGATTGGCCTTTTGTTTTCTGAATAAGAATGATATCTCTCTCTTGAAATGTGAATTACAGTCCCTGTTTGGTAGCAGTTGGATAATAAAGGTGAATTATCAGTAAATAAAAATGGAGATTGCCTATCTCCTAGGACAGGAAGGGACCTTGAAAGGTCATTGAGTCCAGTCCCCTGCCTTCTCAGCAGGACCAAATACCATCCCTGATGAATTTTTGCCCCAAATGGCCTCTTCAAGGATTGAACTCACAACCCTGGGTTTAGCAGGCCAATGCTCAAACCACTGAGCTATCCCTCTGCCAAATGTAAACTCCTTCATAGATTGAGTTGCCCTCTAGCTATGAACACATTAACAAAAATATAGAACATTTTATGTTACAGAGACTCACAGTTAAGTTTTCCAATCTTAAGAATAGCAATTAGAAAATCAAATTGCAATGCTAGCATGAAAATGCCCCCGTAGGAGGACAAAAGGGAGATTAGGAGTCTTTCTACGGAAATGGCAACATAAACAAATACCACAAATGATTATAAGCTTCAGAGATTATGTTAGCAACCTGAAAAAAAAATTATACTGAGATAAAATTAAAGCAGCCAAATCAGTGGTACTTCTTCAAACTGGCAAGAGGGATACAGAGCTTCCATTCCCAAACTTAAAAGGCTTCAACTACTGGCAAAAATACTCATTCCTATAACCATTCAGTAGTGCATAGTTCATGAGCAGGCCTGTTACCAGGAAGGGGAGGCAAATAGGGCAACTGCCCCTGGATCCAGCAATACAAAAGGACCCAGTGCTCTCCATGGCAGCACAGCAGAGGTGCGGGGGGGGGTGGAGGGTGGGTGGGAGGGTGGCATTGGCACTCTCCAGGTGGCGCTAAGGGTTGCCTAGTACCCATCCCTTCTGGCGGCATGGAGCAGGGCCCCCGCAAACTGTCAGCCCTACTGTTCTGGAGTATTCCGCAATTACAAACTTTGTTCAATAGTAACATTTATAACTGATTAAACAACAACATCGATGAGCTTTAAAAACGGTTGGTTCAAAGAGGGCAGAAGATGTAGCAAGTGCAGGGAGAAAGATATAGCTAAATATTCATAGCTCATATACAAATTTATATTAATGCAACTTGTACTGGCATCCAAAAAATAATCAGTTAAATTAAAAAACAAACAAACAATGAATTTAGTACTTTTTGATGTTGCAGATTATCAGAATTAGGAGACATCATCCCTGATCCACAGAAGCGATAGAAAATTAGAAATAACGATGTGAAGTCTTAGTTCAACAAAGCACTTGCACACATATGAAAGTCCATCACTATTCAGCAACGTAAATAAATCCCACTGAACAGTGAAGTCAATGGGACTTAAGCATGTACTTAAGTATTTTGCTGGCACAGGGCAAAAAATTCCATGCACTGAGGGAATATTACAATACATCTGACCTGAAAGAATCAACTCTAGGAGTTGATTCTCTCAAGTCTTGGTTTCCTTACCAAGATTTAGTTGGACATAAACTGTAAGGCAGACACTTTCTGACTAAGAAATTGATTGAAACCATCAATATCCTATATTTTAAATACAAACTAAAACTATATCAAGGTAGCCTTGAATGCATTACTGTATACTGTATCATAATGGATAATTTTATTATCAGGAAATGTTTTAAAAGGATCTGCATGCTGTCAAATTAGCGACAATTTGCAGTAAACGTATTATAACAAAATCTAGGTTAGCAAAAAGATTGATCTTTTCTGTTTAATTACTTCTGGAAGTATTCTGTGCATGGAAGTTTAGTAAGTACTTGATTTGCACAGGAGCAGAGTGGAGATTAATGGAGCTGTTTACATGATACAACTTCGTATTTTAATTTCCTTTCCCTTTGCTACTCTAATTTGTAGAAAAATATACTGAAAAAAAGAAGCCATTGTGACAGAGGTCAAATAAATTATGAGGAATACTCATATTAAATAGAGAATAAACTAAAAAAGGCCCAACAGCATGGGCCCAGTCTAATATCCAATTCATAAAATCAGTTGAATAAGCTATCATTACTCATTAAATGTAGGCTAATGCATGACAATGAGCTGATTTGACTAAGAAAAATCTTGCCTCCTGATTGGCTGAAGTCAGCTTTGTTGTCAGTTCTTCCCTCATATTTTCCAACTGCTGTCTAAGCTGATTCTTATCCCCTTCCAGATGTAGTTTCTCCTTTTCAAATTGCTGCTCCAGCTCCTTAAGAAAACACAAAAACAGAAGAGAAAAATGACATATCTTCTTAGCAGTTATTACATTTTAAAAATGTACTGTATTAAAGAAAACCAAAGGGTATTTTGTCCTTCAGAAATACACTGGAAGATTTGAACTCCTATAAAGAACTTTCTTCTCCCTAAAGAATTATATTATGGGTAAGTTTTGTCTCTCATGCTGGAGATCATGATTTTTTGTATATTTTCTAATCCACAACACTTGTTGATAAGATAAAGGAAGAGTATGTAAAACCTCCTTTTAGAATACCATCATTACTTAGCAGTGAATTGGCCCAAATCATTAAAATAATGTAGACTCTCAATCTTGTTTGAGGGCTCCACTAATTCACGATCAAAAGAATGTGTCAAATATTAGTGTTACATTTGCTAACACGATATTTAGGTTTTATATAAAATGCCTAAAAAGAAGCTATAAAATCTTAATTGCTATGCTGATAGGTCAGAATGGCAGCTGAGCTGCAGCTGGGGGGGAAAGAATAAGTAACTTCGTTTCATTATAAAACTAAAAACACAGCAAATTTACTTGCCACACACCTCTATAATAGTATTCATGAAATGAAAATGTATATATTTGATAACCTACTTTTCACCCCTCCACCTCATACTTACCTTTTTTGATTATAATTTGGATGGGGGGCAGAGACTACATCTATATCCACATTTATACATCATTTTGCCTAAGAAGGTCCTGATTTTAATCAGGGGCTCCAGCTTGAAGAGTAACACAAACATTACAAAATGAAATATTAACAACAAATAATAAATTGCATGTGTGCCTTTCTGTATCTGTCAATCTGTGATTTACATCACTGTTTCATAAACATGCTATATATGTTTGTGTTGGGATCTTTACTCTTTTAAAAAACTGAAGTTATTTTTAAAACTAGTTTCTTATTAATATTTTGGACACAAATAAAATAAAATGGAACATTAGTCCAGTATATAATAATGCAACATCACAAGATTATTTCAAAATACAAAAACGTAAGAGCAGCAAAATGAAAATTACTTCAACAAGACTCCTTTAGTACAAAATCCTGATTCATTCCCAGAATGGTCCATACTAGGGATGTTAAATTGTGGTTGACTAGTTGATAAGGCACTTCCACATTCCTCCTCTGAAATGTGCAATCGCCCCCACTGGGATCAGCTGTGTGGCAGCTTCCCCTTTGAAATGCCGCCTTGGGGTTTCAAAGCGGCAGTGCCACACAGCTCGTCCCCGACTCAGCTGTGCAGTGCTGCTGCTTTGAAGTACCTCTTTCCCCTCCCTTTGCTGTCTGTATCACAGAGGCAGCAAGGGTGGGGGAATCGATTCGTCGACTAGTCCTTAACATCCCTAGCCCATACTGCGTACTAAATGAGGTAGAGGTTTTGTGGAAAAAATAGCAATGTGATTACATAATTAACAATTGTATCATAATAAAAATGTACAAAAGGGTCAAATTAAGGTTTCATAGGCAGTCTTCATTCAGAAATTTCTTTCTTAAAATACAGGTATTGTGGATGTAATTTCCTAGTTTCGAAAAAAGTAAAATGAAAAAAAATCCATTATATGGAATTATACTAACAGGTTATATGGATCATTAGTAGGATTGACTCTTTAGGTATACAGCACATATGGGTACTACTTCATCTATCAGAAATAGTAGGCTGTTATCTCTTACTTTGACCATGCACTAGAGGAGGTGAGATACACATTTTGCCAGTGGGTTTTAAACATATTTATTGACAGCTGAGGAAAGGTAAGGTTCAGGAATTGTGCGCTCCATTCTAGGCTCCATATGGAAATAGTCTAATGGACAAAGGCTCTTTCTGCCTCTGTTCCTCCTATATCTTACCTTGACCCAGTCCCCTGCTTCTTCCTACTCCTATAATCTCCTTGTCCAGCATACTCCAGTCTCCCACTTCAAAGACCTCTCCAAGTCCCAGGCTTTGCTCCCAGCTGGGTTCTCAATCTGAGACTCTGTCCCCACATTACCTCCTAGTCCCTTTTCCCAGCCAGTCTCAGTCCGCTCCTCCCTATCCTACTGATTCTTTGTCCAAGGCTATTTCATGATAGCTCAGTTCTTGTTCCCACTGGAGGAGAGGAAGTGGCATTTAGAACACCTATATTCTTAGTTCCGATGCCCAGTGTCACATTGGTCACAGTCATTGCAATGAGAATCCTGCTCAGTCCCAGCATCCCAGAGATGGAGCATGCTCAGTGCAGATGGAATCTGAAGAATTTTTGCTGAAAATTCTAACCAGTTTCTACTGAATATGTGCCAATTGTGATCTTTCAAATACTTATATAAGTTATAACTTGTCTAAATTTGGCATCTTTTCACTGAATAAAAAAAAAAAAAGCACATCCCTGACATTAGGCAGCACTCCTGACAATTTTCCATTCCCTTCTCACAAGTATGAAGATCCTAGGGCTTTTCAAGAAAACAATTTTAACTTCTTTTTCTTTAATATTAGAAAACATACATTTTTCCATCTGATTTACAGAACTGGTTGATTTTTGTTGTTGATAAAAGTAAAATAATATTGAGCCAGAGATAGATACAAGCATAGCAAATTCAAACTTCAATCTATAAAACTGAAAAAGTTATTAGCAATTGAAAACAGTGCCAAGGTGATATTAAATATTGGTGCTACCAGCTCTGCCTACAACACACTCAAAGATACAATTTATAATTAAAAAATTCCTTTCAGTATGTATTTCACCAGTCACTTATACTTGTCACTATGTTTTCCTTTTGCCTTTGCTCCCTTTCACTATCTTCCTAATTTCTTCACAAAAGTATATGCAGCGTCTGCCTTTCTCTATCCTTCCCACAATGTACCTTTGCAAAATGTCCAGCTGGTACTTCCCGTCTTACAGGAAACTTGAGACAGGTACTACCTACAAGGACAGGCCTGGGCAAAATATGGCCCATGGGCTGGACCCAGCCCACAAAGCTACTGGATCCAGCTCACGGACGCAGCAGAGAGCCCCAGGCAGGCTCCCGCTTGCCTTGCCCCTCCTGTGCGCCACTAAGAAACAAGACTGCTGGGCAGTTTTGCTTTAAAATCTGTGAGCCCAGAAGGGAGGGAGGAAGGCTTTAGGAGCTGCTCTCTTCCCTAGCACAATCCCAATGGCCGGTTTTGGGCCAAAAACTGGCCAGTGGGAGCTGTCTGTTTCAATAACTGGCAGCCAAGAAGCACCACACCCTCTCCCCTCCAGGGCTCATAATTATTTATAGAGTAAATGGCTGCAGCCTGTGTGAGGATGGGGCAGGCAGGGCGGCTGCTTCACGAAAGTGCTGGGTTGCTGGCTAGTAAGTCTCCTGCCCACAGCCTGCCGCTGACACCCCAGCCCCTTCCTCCCCCAATCCTCTGCCCCCCACTCTATATACCCAAATCCTCTGCCCCACTCCTGCACCCATACCCCTCCCCCAGATCACTGTCCCCTCCTACCCTATCTCATAACCAAAACCCTGCACCTCAATCTTCCTATACCCCCTCCTGAACCCTAATTCCCTGACCTAGGTCATAATCTAACCCCCTGCACCTCAGTCCAGTGCCCCAGGTCACAATTACCTTCTTCACACCGAAACCTCTTCCCTTACCCCAAGCTCCCTTCTGCACCTAACCTCCACCCAGACCCTATACCTCCTCCATTAATATCATGGAAGAGTGTGGCCCTTGACCACTTTCCAAATTCTTGGAGTGCACCCCCCCCATCAAAAATTATTGCTCACCCTTGTACTAGGGAGTAGTTCAGCCGCTATGCTGACTCAGACCCTAGACTTTGCTGAGACTTCTTAATAATTTGGTCCACAATGAGTGTGGACATATGTGATATAGACACAAGACCAAAAACTCATTTCCCAAAGTTGTTTGTACTGTTTTAGCCAAGTTGGTCCCATGATATCAGAGAGAGAAGGTAAGTGAGGACTGGACCAACTTCTGGACCAACAGTTTCAAGCTTCACAGATTTCTTCAGGTGTAGAGAAGATAACCAGAGTGTCTAAGCTAAAAACAAGTTGGTTCAATTGCTAAAGGAGACCACTTGAAATGACATGGGTAATTAAGGGTTTGCAGACTGTGGGGTCCATTACAAATTATTGTAATGAGCCATAAAACGAATGTCTCTGTTGAATCAGTTACCTCAATGATAACTATGTGGGTGAAAACAGGACATCACCATGCTCTCAAATGAATTCATACAGGAAACTTTTTAGCTTGAAGTTCAGCCTAGTCCCGCAACTCTAGATTTGGAGCTCTACTGAAAGCATTTTCCTTCAACCCTGTAACAAGCAAACACTATTGAACAGCTGGAGCTTCATCTCACTGAGGCAACAGAAAAAGACTCTCAGTGACTTCACTGATATATGGATTAAGCCCATAGTTCTATCTCCAAGACCTGTGTATGGGTGAGGAGAAGCTATCCTGAAATTAACTAGGTGCTCAATGAACACCACATAGTGCTCTTACATCTTGTCAAAGGTATGCTCACTTTTCCACTAAAGTTTAGAGGGTAATCTTTAATGTACTATTTTTCATAACCATAAAGATATAACTACTGCTTTGTTGATGCTGTATACATGTATTTAAATCAAGAAGCAAGTTAGCTAACACAGCTAGGTTTGCTACCGGTTGCACCTCTATAAACCGGAATTCTCTGGTCGGGCAACATCCGTGGTCTGGCTGAACCATGGAAGTTCCAGGATCCAAGAGTCCCGCATGGGGGGGAGGGGGGGGAAGAGAGACAGGAGACTGGCATGCAGCCCAGCTGGACTGGAGAAGAGTTGGGGGTTAAGCCCGGTGCAAGGATGAGGCAGTAGGGCAGGGGGTGGGGTCAGATATGGCTTCCCCTGGTCTGGAAAAATCCCTCATCCAGGACCAGTCAAGTGCTGAGAGGGCCAGAGAAGTGAGGTCTAACCTATATACCATCCTTAATTTGACCCTATTTAGTTTAGGAATTGCAGTGTGCATGTTTCTATATGAAAGGACTCCAACAGCTCTAAAATGCCCTTTGTTATTCTTCACAAATGCAAATGTACTACAGTCAAAACTTCTGGGAAGACTAAGGGATGAAATGAATGAAACAAGGAAATTAACATATGCAATCCATATGCATACACCATGTTCCCATAGTTTGGCTCATCATCCTTTATTCCTTGAAACATGGTTTGATTTCTTCCAAACTTACCAGCTGCAGTTTTTTCTTTTCCTTGGCAGCATTGCTATGTGCAGTCTCAAGCGCAGTGTGGTGTTTCCAGGCCAATTCTTCCAAGGTCTTAGAATGAGCCTCATTTAACTGTGCAGCCTCCCCTTCCAATCTTGTTTGTAGCTTTATCAGCTCTTTCTCATAATACTCTCGTTGTGTTTCCCTCACTTCATTTACCTTCTGTAAAAGCCAAACAACAAAAAATTCCAAATCACCTATTAAGTGTTTGTCCATTTCAGTAAAGAGAAAAAGAAAAAAAAGGAAGCTCTAATGAAGTTTTGTACAAATACTCTAAAAAATGTCATATGTATGTAGCATAGAATAAACATCTTTAAGCCAGAATACACAAAGAGGAGTTTCAATTAGGCTATGTCTAGACTACATATACATATCTGTATATTAGGCAGATCGAAAGTACAATGAAATGGGATTTTAATTTTCCGCACTTCATTTGCATTGCATCACAGCATTCTTTTGAAAAAGGGTATTTTGAAAGTGAAACTGCAATCTAGACTCAGCTCTTTCGGGAAAAAAAAAAAACTTTTAGAAAAATCCCGTACTCCTCAAAAAAAATATCCACTTCATTTGCACTTTTGAGCTGCCTAATTTATCTCTCTCTTTCAAAAGAGGGTTGTCTAGACATGCCCTTATAGACTAAGTAAAAAAAGTTAAAATCTGTTTTCTTTTTTGCTCTATTTTATCTGGTAAAGAAACAACAGGCAAATTTCAGATCTATAGGCAATTTTTAATTCATTATTCTCATACATTATTCATTATTATTTTTGGAAACCAGTCCTTTTTCTCTCTTATTTTAGTAATGAACTAGTGCTGGTGTATAGTAAGGCAAGGAGGAAATTCCTTATTATGAAGCCTTTAGGGCAAAACTCAAAAGAAGTTTGTTAAGAACATAAGAATGGCCATCCTGGATCAGATCAAAGGTCCATCTAGCCCAGTATCCTGTCTGCCAACAGTGGCCAGTGCCAGGTGCCCCAGAGGGGGTTGACTGAAGACAATGATCAAGCAAATTGTCTCCTGCCATCCTTCTCCAGCCTTTGACAAACAGAGGCCACGGGCACCATTCCTTACCCCCTGGCTAAAAGCCTTTTATGGACCTAACCTCCAGAACACAGTTAAACCAGTAAATGTTTCTGATTTGCATCACTTTATATGTAACCTATATCATCATGAGCTTAATTAATGGGACCGGAAAAAAATAATTAAATCATCTTTATGAAATAGCTCAAGTTTTAATTTTCTGTATTTACCCTGTCATGGGCCCATAAAGTATCTGCATGTACATTTGCAGGGATTACTGATTTATATTTTTTCTTTGACCTCAGCCTCATTCCCATCTCCAATGAGGCATTCTAGAACGTGAGACACATTGGAAGAATAATGGCAATACGCTTCAAGAATTAAGCGACACAACAGATGCCAGAAATCAATATGATTAATATTGGACCTAGCTCCTCTCTGTCTTCATCTCAGCTGAAACTATCACCTTCAGCTCTGCTATGCACACAATCTACATTAAGTAACGTGAAAAGTTGGCAGTGTAATGTGCTACCATGGCTCTAAAAGAGAGGTAAAGGTATTTCTGAATTCATTAACATTTCTGATTAGAATTCTAAGGCTTCTATTTTAGTGGTCTAAAATAAAAAGAATAAGGTGTTTACCTTTTCCAGTGCCAGAATCTGCTGCCTTTGTCTTTCATCCAGAGTTTGTGTTTTGTTCTGCAATAGATTTCTTTCCTCTTCCAGCTCAGATAGTTTCTCTTTTAATCTAGATTTTTCTGATTCTAAATCTCTTATTGTAACTTCCTGTGTCATCTGCGTAGCTTGAAGAATCCCAATGTGACCTATAAAAAGAAAACAGCCATTTAAAATCTCATATCTGAAGATTATTCACCTGTAATAGGAGTTCTTATAAAAAGACTACATATTCTTATCCAAGTGAAGCAGCTGTGACTTGAACTTTCTTTCAGTAGTCCCCCATTGGAATGCTCTCCTGCCCCTCCCTCACTATCCCTGAATGTTTTGAGGGCAAGGGTATTAAATGGGGGAGGAGGGTGCATAGTATTCTTGTCACCTTAGATCCTTTTGCTGCCTCTCTGAGGTTCCAAGTTAATTAGCACACCCCAGAAAAACGTGAGGTAGGCTGAAGTGTATATGTAGAGAATACATCTCAAATATTTCCAGTTACTGATGAATGATCCTTATTTCTTTTTCAAGTGGCCTGAGTACATTCTCACTCATGGTATAATTATATAAGCAGTACCACAATCTCTGTTACTTGAAATGCAGTGTCCTAACTGAATAATGTTTCTAGCACTGCATTACAAAACTGAGATGCTACATCTTGTGAATAGTGCTTTGTGAAAGTGTGACCAGAGCTCCAGATTTTAGCTCTTCATGTTTCTAAAAATGGTGATAAATTTGAGATATGCCATGGAAACCATATTTTCTCTTTAAAAGAGCAAAACTTCGTTTGTAGCTTTTCACTATACAAAACAAATTTCTGTTGTACAAAGCCCAACCCATTTAGACAAATGTGGAAATGTAATTGTTTCCTTTATTAGTAGTATCCCCAAATTTTTGGTGACTTCTTGACATACAAGGTATGAAGCTTTGTCTCATCTGAATGAGTATGAGGGGTTTATAAAAAAGAGAATACTACTAAGCTATTGATCTGAGTCAGGTTAAAGTCCAGTACAACTTTGGAGGGGAATTTAGGATGTGATGGAAGAATTTGTCCCGGTGCAAGACAGTAAATTGTGGAAAAATCTCATAGGTGTAGCCATGTTAGTCTGTAACTTTAAAAACAATGAGCAGGCCTGTGGCACCTTAGGGCATGTCTACAGCAAGGCTATAGTCAAATTAAGTTATGCAACTTCAGCTACATAAATTGCATAGCTTAAGTCGAAATAACTTAACTCAGCTTTTGGCACTGTCAACATAGCAGGAAGCTGAAGGAAAAACACTTTTTGAATTCCCTTACTCCTCATCCATTCCTTAACTTAATAGACCATCTCATCAATGGACAGTCTTCCACACGTTCTAATCATCTGGTCTTGCATAACAACATTTCAGCTATAAGTATCACCCCAATGTAGCTGCTGAAGTGGCTGTCCAGGGTGCTGCATTACAGGAGTCAAATGAGGCCACCTACAATAAACTTTCCAACCCAGGATAGTAATTGTCCTGGGTTTTGACAGCTTCTTCTAGTTTTTAGGAAGGGATCTGGAAAAAGTGGCCAGGGACCAGTAGCATCTGGGATAGAAAATGGATATTATGACTTGCTAATTAGAAACCCTTAAGCTGGAGTGAAACAGAAGAGGAGATCTTTCTGATTC